TAGTGCATGGCATGAGTAGAACGAAGAATCTGAATCTGAATTTTTGCCAATAGCTTTGGCAACATTCACCTCTGAAGCTTGTACAGATTTCTCCTTATTCTTCCCGGTTTTATCCTTCAACTTTGTGCATTCATTCTTCTAAGGTCCATCTTCTTTGCAAATGACACATTGATTCCTACCAACACTCTTATGGCCACCTCTATTCATTGACTTTGAGCGATTAAACTGGCGGCTGTTTGGACTACGATCTCTCACTGCCAATGCATCTCCCGATGTCTTCTCGGAGGGTTCGCCATCACTCTTTCTCAACACTCTTCCTCAACTCATAGTTCACTAATGCTGAGTTCGCCTCCTTATAGCTAACAGTGGTTCTTCCATTTATCATTGTGAGAAAAAGGTACCATAATCATCTTCTGACAATGAACATAGCAACAACATCACCTTGTCTTCATCCTCAACCATAATATCCACATTGGCCATATCCGACAACAATTTAGTGAAATTATTGACATGCTCTCTAATAAAAACTCCCCTCTTCATCTTGAATTGGTAAAACCTCTTCTTCAAGTGAAGCTGATACTTCTCATTGAGTGTTTCTCACAACTGTTTCGTCCACGTTTCGTTCATCACATCATAGATCAAATCCGGCGTCAAGCATGACCTAATAACCCCACGTGCTCTACTGTTAACCTTCTTCCAAACATTTTCCTCCATATCAGTTGGTTTCTCTTGTAATTCAAGAGTCTCCTCCAAATTTTGGGCATCCAATGCATCCATCACCTGACACCTCCACAAACCGAAGTTTATCTTGCCATCAAACATTTGAATATCAATTTTAGTATTATTGATGCTCAAACCCTGTATCATCTTTGAAAGAGACGATCCCGATGTACTTGATTCACCCATGTTGGCGATCAAATCTCTTCAAACAAGAATTCTGCAGAGAATCCTCCAAAACGAGCCCTTAGCCAAACCCGATGCTCTGATACCACTTGTTGTGTGCAGCGGAATTCAAACACAAAAGAGCACGAACAAGCGAGATCGAATCACAAACAATAAACCAACACAAGCACCACAGCAAGATAACGAATTTTACGTGGTTTGGCAAGTTGCCTACATCCACGAGGCAATGAGGGTGGAGTTTTTACTATTAGAGAGAAAGAGAATACAACTAGGGTTTACAATCTCACAAAATCTTACAAATAAACCCTCAAACAAAGCTCTCAAATCTCTCACAAATTCACCTTCAAAGATGCACAAAGCTCTCTCAATGACTGCTTAAAATCGTCTCTTAAAATTACCCTAGAAACAACAATGTTTCTATTTATATGAACATCAAACCCAAACCAATCAGGAAACTGAAACTGGGCCCAAAATCGCGATCCGGTCGACCGCACATGTGGTCCGGTCGACCAACCAGAAGGCTGAAATTTTAGCTTAATCATTACAGAGTTTCGGTCGACCGGACTAGCCTAGCGGTCGACCGGACAGGGTTCGCGGTCGACCGACCTAATCTCGCGATCGTCCGGACAGAAAGCCAAAAGAATACCATATAGTGTGCACGTTTCCGGTCGACCGCTTAAGCTCACGGTCGACCAGACTGCATCTAAAATTCTGCCCGCTTCATTTTTCTTATTCTTCGTGGTCGTTTTCACCGTTTCTACATTTTGTAACTTGTTTTGGTTTCGGCGTGACACCATTGTCAGCTTTCCAGTTAAATTGCTTCAAAACAGAGTGACTTTACTTTACTTTTCACATCAGCAAAACTTGTCAGGTTTCACAATATTTACCACCTTCCTAACTTGAAACCAAACAGTGTAGTTTTAGTAAAGCTGCAGCTGGCCCCGCTTTTTGCCACCTTTCCATCATTTTATCTAATTTATGTTGCAACCAAACAACCCTTTAAATGAGGAAAACCAATTTTACATGTGTTTTTACATAAATCAAATGGTTATCAAGAAATGTAAAAGTGATCTCTTAACAGTATATAATAACTATTGCCTATAATAAATATTAAAACTCTTTTCTATGTTTTCAGAATATGCTACTATATCCACAATAGAAAATGGGGTCCTGGTTTGCGACCAAATTGCCTAAAAATACACATGTTTTAGGATTTTGCACATGATAGGGATGTTGGTTTAGTTCAATAGACCTAACAAAAATCAACAAACTTTGCAGCATTTATCAAGTTGACCCCTTAGAATCATGTCTTAATACACTGCACAACAAAATGTAAGTGGACTTCCAATCAATAAATAAAATCACCAATTATTAAAACCCGAATACTACCAAGTCCTTGTCATCGCCAATCAGCACTAGAAACCAAGCCATAATTAGCTTAGAAAAACATTTACATCTTATTTCTTTTATTAATATTTGCCAACCAGTTCGTGGGTCTGATCACTGCCCAACCGGCGCACCCTGCAGAGAATCACAACCTAAAAATAGGCTTCGTTTGGATACCAATGGTGTTTTACTTATTTTCATGATGTTTTTATCAAAAATAAAACACTATGCTTTTGAAAACCATGGTGTTTTTTGAGCTAAATCATCCTCAAATAAAAAACACAATACTTATTTCAAAACACCTTTTAGGTGTTTTAAGTTTGTTGTTTTGATTTTGAGTTTAAGAAGATGTTAATATAATATCTAACATAATATATTAAATATAATTAATATAGACTTATTATCAACATGCTTATTATATTACAATGTACTATACTATATTATAGTTAATTTAATATATTAGTAATATTTATTAAATAATATAAAAATATAATAAATAAAATATCTTAAATAATAATATAATAACATATTAAATACCAATATTTAATATGTTAATAATGTATTATATAATAAATAAATAATAATAAAATATAAATAAACTAATAAAAAAGTTATTGATAATAAATAATAAAATAATAATGATATAATAATATACCATACAATAGTATAATGGCTATAATATTATTATCTTTTTAATAAATAATTAAAGTATTATTAATAAACTCTAACATATTAGAAACTATAATATATTATATAATATTAAAATATTTGTAATATATGAATTTATTAATAATGTAGTAGTAATAACATAATATTAACATTATTAATAATATTATATTCTATTAATAATAGTATAATATTACATTAATAATAAAATACCATTACTATAAAAATATTAATATAATATTTAACAATAACAAAGTGATATACCAAAATAATTAAATATTTTAAAAATAATATGTAATAATTGTAATATAATAATACTTATAATATAATATAACTAATTAAAGTACAATATAATATAATAATACATTATACAATATTATATTGCATTATATTTAATACTTATAATACTATAATAATATAAACTAAATATTATAACATTTTAGATATAATATATTTTATTACAATTAATATATAATATATTAATAATATGTTTAATACTAGTGTTGATAAAAAATACTTAACATGATATTTTAAAAAAAAATTTAAAGAAAAAACACAACATCATGATATTTTTTAAAAAACACAATAAGAAAAACCCGATGGTATCTATACAAAGCCTAAGTAACCTTAGCTTTGCTTTACTTTCAATCGTCATTAGATCAATGACAACATTTGCACAGAGCCCTTTATGAACTTAAAATATTAATAAAAACTCCTAAATGCTTGGAGAGTTTCTCCGACAGAAACCCTCATTTCTTTTCCTTAGGGCTTGTTTGGATTTGGAGGGGGTGAAGGGAAGTTAGGGGAATTTAGGGAAAGTTTAGTTAAGGGAAGGGAAGGGAATTTCTAAAACTTGTTTGGGAAATTAGTAAGGTGAATCAAGGGGAAGTTATTTTACCCCGTTTGGAAAGTGTAAAAACAGGAAGGGAAGGTATATAAATTGACTTAAATACTCTCACACATATTATTACGTTATATTGTTGTTAGAAATTTTAGCCGTTGGATTTTAATCTTAGCTAGGGGTAAATATGTCTCTCTACATTTGTTGTATTCCCCCTCTTTACCTTCACCCCTATTACACCCCAAATTTGTGAAGTTCTTCACCCTAGTTCACCCCTTAATAGTATAAAATTTGTTACACCTGGTGTGTAACCAAGGGGAAGGGAACTCCCTTCCCTTCCCTTCTCTTCTCTCACCTAGTTTCCCTTAACCCCATTGAAATCCAAACACACCCTTAGTGACGTACTCACGTAACTTATTACGATAATATTTAGAATATGCTTTGCAAGTTTATAATTAATAACTTTTAATATTTTTTTTATCCTTATTATAGTGCTATCCTAAATAGTAAATACGAGGACAAATAAATGAAAGTATGCATGGAGTAGTGTTGTAAGAGCATCTCCAACAGCTTCCCCATTTTATTGGTATTCACATTTTTAAAGAATTTTAGGCTTTTTTTTGTCTAATAGATTCTCCATCACATTCCCCAAATTAGGGGTGAAGGAGAAAAAAATGGGAGTCTTTCCTAAATCTGGGGCATTCTTCAAATATCTGGGAGAGCTTTGTCATAAATACAACACGTTCTTTAAAACAGGATGGAGGAGAAAATAAATATAAAACAAAATTTATAATTATAAAAAAAGCCATGGGGGCAGTTCCAATGCATAAGAGCATGTCAAAATAGGAATGTAGAATATTTTTATTATTATAATAAATGTAGGATTCTTCAAAATGGGGAAGTTGCTGGAGTTAGAGCAAAAATAATTTAGAGAATATGACTTTTGCTTTCCCATTTTGAAATTTTTTTTGGGAAAACGGTTGGAGATGCTCTATAAGGAACTCCTCAAAAATTTTGGAGTTTTCTCCTTTTTCAAAGTGTAAAGTATATTGTGCTAATTATACAAAAGTTCAGGGTGGTTTAAAAAATATACCCGTTTCCCAAAATAATGCCTTTGTATACCCGTTTCCCAAAATAATGCCTTTGTTGCGCTCACCGGGCGGTAAGCGCACCGTTTCCACATAACTGGCTTTCTCGTTCTATTATTCTCTCTTTTTTTCATTTTTGTTTCTCTCTCTTCTCGCCATCGTTTATTTTGATCTACGTGTAAATTGTTGTAGAGATCGGATTAGGGTTTGAGATCTCTCTTTTAGCCGTTCTCGATCTCGTCAATGGCTGCTCCACCTGCGAGGGCTCGTGCTGATTACGATTACCTAATCAAGCTTCTTCTCATCGGCGACAGCGGTAAGGGTTTCTCGATTCTCTTCGCTTCTTTAATCCTAAAATGCGATCTATTTGGATCTCTTTGATTCGTCTGAATCGATTTAATCTGGTGTGCGAATTTGATTTGGGGGATTTGTGCTTGGATCTGATGCTTTGGATCTCGTATTTAGCTGTTCAAAATTTGGGGACTTTGGATGCTGACCTTGAGGTTTGGGGATCCGAACGATAAACATGAATTGATTTCAGGATATTTGTCAGTGGTCTTCTTTAAAGATTTGATTTTTATGGGTTTCACCTTATTTTGGAGGATGCATATTTTGCATGTTGTATCAAATTAAAGCCAGATGATTTCAAGTTAGTGTGATAAGTTTGTTTGTTCTCTGAGAGGTGCTTAACGTTTCTAAGGATCTCAACTTGATAGAAGGATTTGATTCGAAATGCTAAATAGTGCTTTGGTTGCATGAACACAGGAAAAGGGCATCAGAAGATTATTATCCTTTAGGTTTTATTTTGCAGCAAGTCTTTTTCTCGAATTTAAGAAATGGATGGTTTTGAGGGTCTCATAGAGCATGTATTTTTGATACATGAGTGGCAAGGTTAGCCGGCTTATAGTTTAGATTATAATATGGGGGTCTGATTTATTTTCCATAAGCAAAGAATGATGCTTTGAATTTCTTAAACCAACCCTTAGGCTAAGGGATTTATCTAGAAGTAAACATCTAAAGATACATATGAATAAACTTTCTAGGTGGCATTTATCACTCATTATCTTAGTGGTTGTCTAGTTACTGTTATGATATAGCTCTTGTTCTTCTACTCTGTTATAAAATGTTTGATTAGTTTATATATTAATTAGAATCAGATGAAGGAGGATATAACTTTTCGTGGAGGGGCTTCTCGAAATGTGAGATGTCGGCTTCTAGTCAAGTGGTAAGACGGGATTGGTTGCGTTAAATCTCACTTCAATTTGTGTTATGTGTATATTTGGAGGACACAGGGAGGAGCAATGGGAGTAGGAGGGAAGCGGTTGATTGGAAATTGTAAGTCTTATTAAAATCTTAGATGAGTACACATAGGATGATAGGTAGAAACCAAAAGGGTAATAAAAGTTTATAAGATCTAAAAGGAAAAATCAGAATTGCCAGTGAATTGCTAATGATATAGTCTTACCTGGCTATTCTGATTTTTTGGGTGCAAGTTTGATCTTTTTTTTTGCCATAGGAATTCACTGAATTGAACCATTATGCATTTACTTTGGTACTTGGAATTTCTACTTAGACATTAACTAAGATAAGCCATTTGAGATCATGTTTTAAACTAGACTAGAATGTTGGTCGTAATTCTTGATCTCTTAACAAATTAGGTGATTGTATATGCTCTGAACTCAAGATTGTGTTGTCTACTGTTGTTGTTATGGGTTTTCATTGTGCTATGCTTAGTTTTTGATTTTAGCTTGTGAAAGATATGAGGTGTAAAAATACCCGTATCATAAAATGGACCATGTTTATTTAATCTTGGTGAGCCAAGATAAGACATAATCGGGATATATAGAGATGTATTGGGGTGAGTATTGCTGCTATGGGTTTGTGTAGCATGCAATGGGGGCATTATTAATGAGAAAAAGGATTCTTTTATCTTTTCTTATTTAAAAGAGATTTTTTGGTACTGTTTGGTATTGGTATTAGTTCTAGATGTAAATCTTTTCTTCATCAGGCCTTTTCCTTTGTTGATCAGTTAACTCATGTTGTGACATGTGTAACTTGCATATAATGTTGTGTGGGATAATCTAGCATAACATTGTTGGATTTTTTTTCTTTGTTTTTTTCCTTTTTGATATTAAGTCCCAGTTGGCAATTTGCACAGTTGGGTGGGTGTAGCCAAGTTGGGTTGCATTGACAAGCTATATGTGGTTGCTTAATGTTTGTTCAGTGTTACATTTTTCTTGATTGAGGACTAACCCGTGTTATTCTGTATCAGTAAATATAATCCCTTTTTACATAAAATAATTTCTCTGGTTCTAAGAGAAAGACAAATTCATGCTATTTATACATTTGAAGTGTCACTGTGGTTGTAGGTGTTGGAAAGAGTTGCCTTCTATTGCGTTTTTCAGATGGTTCATTCACAACCAGTTTCATTACTACGATTGGGTGAGTTCTAAAGCCACTATATGTATACACTGGAACACTGTTTGTGATACATGCAAACTGTTACTGTCTTTATGAGGTAGTTCATATTCTTGGTTTTTATCTCTGATCCAATATGCCTGTATGCAGTATTGATTTTAAAATAAGAACAATTGAGTTGGATGGAAAACGTATTAAGCTACAGATCTGGGATACAGCTGGCCAGGAACGCTTCCGAACCATTACAACTGGTACGCATGCTGGCATTTGGGTTTTATGTTTATATGTGTATTTAAGTGGAAACCGCATGCATTTTTCTTTAGAAGTGTTCATGATTAATCCACCTTTTCCTTTTTTTCTTCTGTAGCCTATTATCGAGGGGCCATGGGCATTTTGCTTGTTTATGATGTCACTGATGAGTCATCTTTCAACAGTAATTAGCTCACTTTACCTAACTTTTCATGCTATAATTTGTCAACTTTTCAAGTAGCTTAGTAGAGCATTGCTCTCAATCTGACTCTCTGAATCCTGCAGACATAAGGAACTGGATTCGGAATATTGAACAACATGCTTCGGACAATGTTAACAAGATCCTGGTTGGTAACAAGGCTGACATGGATGAAAGCAAGAGGGTAATTATATTTAGCTGCTCTAGCATATTTTTATTTTTTAAAAAAGACATCTATGCTTATTTGTATAGTAAAAAAAGGGTATCAGGTGGTAGCTCATTTAGAATGAGCTATGCTCTACCAAGAGATAAACTAATGGTGAGATTGTCTACTACTCATGTCGAAGCTAGTGGTGAGATTTAGTCTACTACTCACAGTTTGAGCATGCGGACACATGCATGTGAACAAATGGAGGCAGTTGTATCCATCCACGGTGTCGGCGGGGTGTCACTTACATGGAAGACATCGAATCTGCCAATTATGATGCGGTTTTGTTGATGATCTGCGTTATGTTTGCTTGGACCTAGGTCACGCCGCAAACATACCAGCTGTCACCATGGTGGGAAACACCAAACCCTGTTTACTCATGTGACACACTCCAAGTCACATTGGTAAACTATAAGGGGCAAACTACCTGTTTGACACACTCTTAGTCACAGTGGAGCATGTGGATTTCACCACTTCAATCCCTTGGCAGCTCATTTGTAGACAAGGTGACAAGTCATATCCAATATTCCTATGTAGCAAAAATAGGTATGACATGCCACCTCATGAGCTAACAAGATTAATAAGCTTATGGTGAGGTCCATTGTATCATCAAGCAAGTGGGGGCTCACCCCTCTCATCCCTTGATAGCTCGTTTGTCAAAATTTCCGCCTCTTGAGTAAATTTTATGATCAATATCCTTTCTATCAATCAAGTTCTAAATGATTGAGAAATGTCCAGTTTTTCCACCTACTTGAGTTCCATTGCTGGAGATTGTTTTACATGACTTGTGTTTTTCCAGGCCGTGCCAACTTCAAAGGGACAAGCCCTTGCTGATGAATATGGCATCAAGTTTTTTGAGACTGTACGTGGTTAAACTTTTGGTGTTTTTTCCCTTTTCATTCTACCCCTTCCCCTGTTCTTATCCACTTTCTACTGGACGTATCAAATGTTGCAGAGTGCAAAGACAAATCTCAATGTGGAGCAGGTTTTCTTTTCGATTGCTAGAGACATTAAGCAAAGGCTTGCTGAAACTGATACCAAAGCTGAGGTATGAATTTTCTTGTAAGATTTTGCATATTTTTCACTTAAATTCGAATACTTTTTCCTGCAGCAATGTGATTGTACCCTCGTTATAACCATTTTTAGGACAAGACGATCAAGATTAACAAACCGGATCAGGCTGGTGAGGCTCAGCCAGCAGCAAAATCATCTTGCTGCGGCAACTCTTAGAAGGATAAGTTCGATGTTGGTATGAGAAACACTAATTTGCTTGTTATAGGTAGTGGTGTAATGAAAGATATGACGATAAAAGCTTTCGGGTGTTTGTATTTTACATCTTATCATTCTTTTCAACTACCTTTTAGTCTGCAATGTAGCATTTCCGAAGATATTATATTTATGGTTTCTTCTTGGATCACTACATTAGTTCCCCCTTTTTTTCCCCTGTAACTTGAGCATTTTATGTCATTGTATCCTCAGTGTGCTTGATGTATCCAGTTTTTCTCTTCAGTTACACGAAGGATGAAAGTTGGTTTACTATCACGTGGTTCTCACGTGAAACCACAAACTAACTTGGAAAATTATGTCCTCTGGAGTTCATCATACGAGTGGTGTATCTGCAGAAACCTAGTTAGTTACTTGTTCTTTCTGCACAAATCCGCAGAAGCCTAATTAGTAATTATCTTCTTCTTGTTCTCATATTTTATTACAACTGGAATATTAGTTACTGGATATAATTCAGTAGGGGATCGAATCAGAACCGTCTCTACATGAGTGGGTGGTTTACATCATTGATTGAATAGTCACAATTTCCAATCTAATCCTCTAACTACTCATGTACGGCATATATTGCCTCAATAGATATGGTGTTCTGACGGAATTCTTACTCGACATAATCCCATATGCAATTAGTCTTTTTGCATTTCTTCTGTTCTTTCAATGTTAGAAATGCTGTTTTCGGAATGCTGGAAAATGCAGTCCTCCGACTCTGTTATCAAGTGAACAAAATCGAATAAATATGTTACCAATTGCTAAGAAGGGAAGAATACATTTGACAACAAATACTCTCTCTCTCTCTCAACAGCAAAGGCACTGGTCTCATTTGTTCTCTTGCTTGAGCTGCTTTCTCTTCACTACCTCAATCCCCCCCATTCTCTAATTTCCCTATCTATTTCCTTTGCTAGAGAACTTAGAATCTTGTAGCACTCAAGCAGCTTTGTGCTCTTGTTATGACGAGCATTTCCTCTGCCTCGACCCTGGAGCTTGCTGAGCTGATGCTGTAGCTATCGGCAGCTGTTGCTGTATTTGGCCTCAAGGGATCACAATAATCGTCGATCTTGATGGAGAAGAGAGAATGAACGGGCCTGTGATCAGAGAACTGTGACTCGTACCTCGAGTATGATATTTGTTTCATGCCGTCTCCTCGCCACAGGATTCTGTCGCACCTGTCACCAACAAAACTCATCACATCATTGGGGGAAGAAAGAATATTTATCAAAAAGTCTATTAGGATCTTATCAGAATACTCCGCATGCATGCGAACAAGATGTACTGAACCATACAGGAGGAGGATATGGGACAATTTAGAGATTTCCAGCCGTATTGTTCAGAACACCTTCCTTGCATGGATAATGTTCTGATGATTAGATTTGTATTCTTGCAACATCATACGAGATAGAGATCCATATATATAACTCTCGTTGAGGGCTTTAATGTTTGTTTACCAAGCTGGAGTTCTTGGTTTATCTCCATGTTTAGCGGTGGAAAACGCGTAGCAATCCGAATTTGGGAGGTACTTGTAAGTGGGAGGAAAGCTAATCTTCCCTTCTTTCCATCCCCTCAGCACGTGACCAGCTCGTTGTTCGATCCTAAGCTGCACATAATAATCAGACTTAAGACTAAATTAAACCTAATACTAGCAAACGGTTCTCTATAACGAGATCATTTCCTTCACTGTAAACTGTAATCGTCAATATTTATTATTCACTCTTCATATAATCAGCGCTACATAATTACCATATTGCCACTTTGCCATGCATGTATTGTATATATGCTCACCTGATCTTTCTCCAAAAGCGCTTCCCATTCATTTTCCTCTAACAGCTCACGAGTTTTGTCACAACTATTGACGAGGCGGTAGTTAAGGTCTCCAAGCAATATTATTTTCCTGCAACATTATATCATTTGTTATAATAATTACCAGATTTTGTTACTTAGCGTAGCCATGATTATTTTTTGTCCTAGACGAAAAATAAAGATGGTCTCAAGCTATAAGTTCAATTTTCTTTAAGTTGACCATCTCTCCCTTTCTCGTTCCCTAGACTCTCTCACCCTCTCACTCTT